AAGACATTTTCGTCAGGGAAATAAACGGAGTTGAAACAATAATAATAATAATAATAATAATAATAATAATAATAATAATAATAATAATATAATACTAGCGCTATAATCGTCATTTACCTTGGAACAAGTAATATAAATCACGCTACTTCATAATATTAAGCTCCTGACTGAAGGATCAGAATTCAAAGTCGTGATGCGATGTTCTCAAAATTTTACGCTCATGTCAGCATCGTGCCTACGCTTGTAAACGCGTGTAGTGTTGTTTGTGCGTATCTCATGAAATTTGCGTCAATTTTTGTATCTTTTTTTTTTCTTTTCCTTTCCAGGGACAATTCAGTTTTGTCACGCTCCTACAACCCAATATAGGACATATTTACCGACATTCAGAGGAGCGTAATTGTGACCTTAGCGTGTCCATATCGGCTACTGCATTATCATTCACAATGTGACCTTGGTCAGTGCGTCCATTTAGCAAGACTGCTACATTGGACATGGAGAAAGAACGCATGGCCGTCATTTTTGCAAGCTAATCATTCCGCAATGGCTGTGATGGTAAAAGTACATGTGGTTAATTATCTAGTGGTAAGGCCGTGTCGGAGTATTGTGGTAAGGGGGACATTCCATGAAAATGCCAATCCAGCATTGTTCTCACGTAGACTGCTTCAATGTTGGCACGCTAGAAATCCTGAGTTATTACTCCTTCTGCTAAATAAAGCTTCACGAGGTTTTTTCTGCATTTCTAGACAACAAAGGGAACCTTTCTTACTCTTGATCGCCTTGACAGGGGCTTGATCTTTGCTCGAGGCTTTACTTGATGTTTGATCATCATCGTACTTGATGTCGGATCATCATCGGCCTGGTATACTTTCTGAATTAAGTGGAAACCCATCATAATGGTCAAAGATTAGCTAACCCTCCATGGAATTGGACACAAAATCTGTCAACATCGCTTCTCTCCGAGGACAGTAGAGTTCAAAGTAGTGTTCCACCCATCCCTCTCAAGTTGCTTTTCCTTGTTCATTAAAGAAGTCTCCCAAAATGTAGTCTTCAAAGCTATCATGTATGTAACATTCTGTTTAAAATTGTACCACTTCATCTCTTTGTCATTGTGATTGGCCATGAACATCATTTCTTTATTAAATTCCTTCGCATATTGCTCTTACACAATGATTATTACCCATGTTACTTGCGCTCTGTACATGGGAATTTCGGTCCAACATTTTATAATAAGCCTTTTGAACTCTTTGAGGATGTTGGGTTTTTTTTTCTCACGCTATATCTTTCGGTATTATTTTAATCATGGAGCATCTCAAGCTGAGATTTTGAAAGCACTTTTTCAGTTCTCTAATTTTTTTTTCTGCTTTACACAAATTTTGACTTTATATCCACCGCAAATTATTAGTTTATGAGATTATATGGACTAATATGAACTGTATTACAATAGGATCAAGATTTAAAGTTTTGGCTATTGGATAGATATTTAGTAGGAAACAATAGATTTGCAAGGGTTTTAGTGGCTATATATGTGTGTGTTCGGCAGCAAAAATTATGGCACTTACGCTTTAGCTCTCAAAACAACTCAGTAACTGGGAGTGGGTCTAAAAGTAAAAATTTACCCATCTTTTACACAGCTAGATCTATATACATATATCTCTCTCTCTCTATATATATAATATATATGAATAATATATC